AATTGTGTCAGTTTCACCAAGATGGATTTCAGAAATGTGTCAATTTCACCAAGATGGATTTCAGAAATGTGTCAATTTCACCAAGATGGATCTCTTCTTCAGAAATGTGTTAAATTCACCAAGATGGATTTCTTCTTCAGAAAATGTGTCAATTTCACCAAGATGGATTTCTTCTTCAGAAAATGTGTCAGTTTCATCAAGATGAATTTTTTTCTTCGGGAATGATTTAACCTGTACATGTGAATATGTGAGTGCTAAAAGGAGAAAACCTCAAATTAACTTACTTCCTCCTATTCTTTTGTTTCCAGAAAATGGCCAACTGAACAGATCCATGTTGACCTCTGCAACAAGGAAATGTTGGGGTAGATAGTTGGCCATGCTTTGGCTTCCCTAGATCTGATTGCAAATTCCCTACTAAGGGAAAATGTGAAACCAAAAGCCCTGCTTCTGTGGAGGCAGATGAATGCACAGCCAGATGTGCAAAAGCCATTCAGGATGCTAATGTGGGTGTGATGTCAGAAAGTGATTTATCCACAACATCCCTAATCCCACTCCGGTGGCCTTGGATGACACAATTGCTTTGGTCTTCCTCCTCTCTGGAGGGGAGGGGGGGCGTCTAGTGAAATTGACAGGGTTATTATTACTCTTCTTTAAAAGACTTCTGCATATAGAGTCAGTTTGGTGGAGTGGTGAAGGTGCTGGAGTGGAAACTAGGTGGCTGTGAGTTCTAGTTCCACCTTAAGCATGAAAACCGGGTGGTGGGTGACTTTGGGCCAGTCTCATCATTGCCCAATCACCTGGCAGGGATTGTTGTGGGGAAAATAAGGAGGAATTATTAGGTACGTGGTGGCCTAGAGGTAAAGACTCTCACCTCCCATTTGGAAGGTTGAGAGTTCAATTCTAGGTAGCAGCAGATGTTTCTCTCCTAGGAAAAAAAATCTGCTGTGAACTCCATGTAGGCATCAGGAAGTGCATCCGGCCAGTAAATGCTCAGCTCTAGCCAGTTGTCCCTGCTCTACCCCGAACTAAGCAATTACAGGGTCATAAATAGGGAGATTATTAGGTATAATTGTATTGAGTTGACCAATATACAGAATGGATGGATAGATGGACAGATGGATGGGTGGGTGGGTGGACACTTTAATTTATATGCTGCCCATCTCGCTATCTACATCAACTGTTGATATATAGACATACATATAAAAACATGTTGTCCACCAGGTGGCAGCACTTGGCCAACCCTGCTTTATCTCTCCAGGCAAAGCCCCAGAGACCTGGATAATACTTGGAAAGGAGACCACTATGAAATCCCACATTGGAGGGCAGACTAGGAAGCCGGGGAGAGAGACGCCAGCAGCCCCACACTTCACTCCCGATCCGTGCACCAGCAACCGGTCCGGACAAACAAGCGAAGCCCCATCCGTGGGATGCAGGCAGCACACAAATCCACGCACCCTCCGGTCCACGGGGGAAAAAAACTTTCTCCACGGAACCGGTCCCTGGTGCCTAAAAGATTGGGGGGGGGCTCTGCACTAGGGGGATCTATCTCTCTCCAGCTTGGCCTTGAAAATCCACCAGATAAAGACATTGCAAAGACAATCCGCCCCCCCCCTCTTGCGAAGCCAGCTACGAGGCTACTGCCCTCTATTTTCCCCCGAGCTCGCCAACGGCTGATTCCCAGAGCTGGGGGGCTGGGGGGGGCGCTTTCCGGCCCCTTCTTCTCCACCCTCGGGGAACCAGCAGCTCTCTTTTCTTTCGGATGAAAAGGAAAGCGACTGGAGAAGAGGAGGGGGAGAAAGGATGAGGTGAAATGGGGAGGGGGGCAGCGCCAGCTTCGGGCTGAGTTTTTTCCCCCTCTTACTCTCCCGGTAGCCTTCAGCCAATGTCTTTATCTGTGACGTGTGGGCGAGCGGTTGCCTCCTCCTTATTTAACACCCACCCGAGGCAGGAGCGGCTCTTTCTCTCTGTCTACCTACCTACCTAGCTACCTACCAACGCGCTAGCCGCCGCATTCACCGGGACTGCAAACGGGCAAGGGGGAGGACAGAGGGGGAGGCCCGCCCCGCTGCACCTGCCAGCGCCCCCACCTTGCGCTCCCCCC